CAGATGCCCTTCTTCATGCAAAGGGGCTTGTGTCAGGTAGTTTTGCTTTTACTTCAGAAAAAAATGCAAACATATTTTTCGCTGTTGTCCGGGTTGGCTAAGATGTTGCTGAAAAGCACCCCAATCAGTTAAAAACTGGAAACTCTGCTAACCCTTCTCACAGCAGGGCCTTCAAGCACAGAACTGTTTGCTAGTGGCTGCTTCTTTATACGAATACAAATCAAGCCAAGTTTGTGCAAACTGTGGCCAGTGCATTTGAATCATTTTGATTTACAAATTTCCACAGCCTGTGCGTGTCAATGTTCCCTGTTATTTTATCTGATATTACAGAGCTTTCAACTCCAAGTTACCCTGGCTGAGTCATCCAACATTATCGATTGTTCCAGTTAAAGCCAAATGTCTTAATTTGAAATGAAATTAGCAATGCTCTTAATCCTCTGAAGAGCAAACAAATAACCGAGAAGTTGCAGTTAAATCGTGGCTAATAATATACAGTTAGAATATCCACATTCGTTTCACAGTGATTACAACCACACACACACACATTTGTGTTTGTGGCTGATGTGACACAGAACACTACTGCCATCGCCTGAGCGTGAAATTGAACATTTTACACAGTGTGGGCGAAGACGTAGCCACACTCATACTAAGAAACAATTTTTTTTTAAATGAAAAACTATTGTTTCAAGGCTCCAATAACCCTGTGACCCTCAACTGGATTAATGATTAAGAAAATTAATGGACGGGTGTGTTTTTGTCTTTCATTTAAATCCAGAGTAGTTACTGAGATATTTTACATGCAGAACTTTTACTTGCTTTTCTCTTTCTTTTCTTTCTTTCTTTTTTTAACTCTCACCTCTCACCCTCACTGGCAGCTCTTCAGATGTTATATCATAGCCAATTAAATCTGAACTGAAAAGCACAACTCAACTTGTAAGAAAAAACAGCCTTTCAAGTATTCAGGTAGTTTCAGTTTCACCATGACAACTGTGCAAATTCAATTGGGATCTTTTGATACTTTATGACTCCATTCTCAGCCACCAAATAGACAGTGAGAAGGCACTATCATGTTTAAGGGGAAAAATCAGTGAAGTCCTCATGTGTGTGAATTTCCAATAGAGACGGACAAAAGTAAGTGTGATGAGAAAGAAACGAGAGAGAAATGAGTCACCCAGGACATGCAGCTAGCAGAGGGATGACTCTAACCTGATCCCGGTGCACTGAATTACTGCCACGGCTTGTTCAGCAGCACAAAGAGGAATAATCAAAACTCAACCCTGTTTCAATTAGAGGCAGCGTTTGAGGCAGCAGAAAACCAGCCTCGGTGAGCAGCAGCACTGATCCACTGAATCGGTTATTATGTGCTGTGCTGATGCTTTGCTGAACATCATAACGCCCACATAAACCATTCGCTGTTGTCTAAAATAACGTCAGTTATTTCAGACTCACAGGGGATGTGTCGGGTGAATTGAGTAAAGACGCAGAACGACGTAAGAGGGCGAAACACAAAGATACTGTGTCGTGAAGAAGTGACACCACGGTGAAGAGGCCCTCACCCACAGGAGGAGAATTCAGTCTGCGCTGGTTTCTCTGTCTCTCTTTTCCTCGCAAAGGAGAAAATGAGGAGGACTGCAGTGTTGTGTGACTCATCCTGGTGTAGAGAGCAGCCTTTACAGTCTCACCTGTACGAACACACGCACACACACAAACACACAGCCCTACATATACAGTCAGAGATACTATCGGTTTATCCAATAAATTAAGTTCACACTCACTTACTAGAGTATTTCAGATATGAGGTTTTAAATCCCAGCCAGTCTTTGTGAAGCTTGCATTAGATAGAATAACATTAGACAGTCTTAACCTCCTAGGACCTGGCATCCACATATGTGGACATCGCATATGTGGACATACTTAATTTTGCTATACAAGGGCCTGATATCCACTCACGAGGACATTACACTGCCACCTGACATGTTTCGTGTTTCATGCAATGTTCTGAAATCTTTTACGTTTTTTGACTTTGTTGCAGGCGTACGTCTTCCTGCAACTGTTAGCAGCACTTCAAAGCTGCACAATTGTTGTTTCTCATTTTGTTTTTGTACTCAGGAAAAACGCTGCTGTGTTCAGACACCAAATAAAGAGTTTTGCACATCATTACTTAATTGTGACTTTATAATGTTCTATCGAAATTTAAAACAAATGTCCTCAGGTGGATATAATTTTTCTCAGAAACTACATCAGGTAAAAAGATCATTCTTTGTTTTTCCATTCATCAGGTCTCAATCAGCCCAAATAGCAAAGAGATATTAAAATTTCATGCCATGAAAAAGTTCGGGTCTTAGTAGGTTAAAGTGTGTTATTATGGGCAAGCAAGTATCAGTACTTAGGTTTTGGTTGTATTGGCTAAAATGTGTACCTTCAGAGAAAGATGTCAGTATAGGGGATCGTTAAAGCTGATATTTCTGATGATGTTGATGTAAAAGAAAACATTTCGTATTCAGCTGTCATCAACAATTTTAACACTTGTAGCAGTTGACAGGGCCCTTTGCTGTTGCTAAGTGATGGTATTTACATACACATCTTGCAGAAAGTTTTTGTTGTTGTTGTTATTGTGTTTTTTTCCAGGACATAATAAAAAATCATGTGGTCCTTACCAGGTCTGAAAGGTAAATATAATGTCAGATAAACTACAAAACATTATATATTATAATGTTACATTATGTCATTAGTTATTTAACAGAAACTAAGCCAAGCAGAAGCTTTGTGTGGAAAACTAACTGCTCCCCATCAACACCTCGTACAACACTTTAAGCAGCACCAAGTTGAATGACTGGTTTGCTGTATGGCTTTATCAGTCTCTCACATGATTGCGGAGGAATTTTGGCCCTCTCTCTTTTTACAATGTCGCTTCAGTGCATTGAAATCTGCAGGCATTCGTTCATTCACAGCCCTCTGAAGGTTGCACAGCATTTCACAAACTGACATTGTGTTGGCACACACCTGAATGCTTCAGAGCTGCAAGCTGTGAAATTATGATCTGTTAATTAAGTGCATTTGCTTAGCAGTACCTGCTACTTACCTCTTAATTCCTGCTGAAGCTTTAAAAGTTTACTTTGGTTTTCACACACTGCTTCTGTAACCTGGCTTTTTGTAAAAGAAAGAAATAATCACATGTTGTAAAATGTCATGTGAGGTTGTATTTACTTATTTTTTTAGATCTGGTAAGGACCATTTTGCCCTTATGTGGAGTTTGTACTTTTGTTTTTACCCTGACTGTATATATAGAAATACCAGTTTTTTCTGTTTGCTTTTAACAGATATCTTACACTAACCAGCTGGGGCTGTAAGGTTTGAGAGATTTTGCAGTTCACTAGGAAAGTCTGAAATTTACTAAAAAACAAACAACAACAACAAAGTTGGGGCTCTAGGTTTCAGCTCTTCATAACTTAACAGAATATTGCAGCCTCTATGGTTCGATATTGTTCGATCTTTGTAAAATCTTCCTGTTTAGTAACTGAATGAGTCCATAGCAGACGTGCCTCCTACAGACAGACCCACGGGTCATTATAACATTTATCCAGTATGAGAGCATTTTGCAAATTTTGTCCATGTGTTATATTTAAAAAAACAACAACTTTCTTTTATTTTAAGCTGTCTGTAGTTTCATTCTTAATAATACAAATGCCCCTGTTTACTCTGCACTCACTTCCTCGTCATATAAATATAGCTTTTTATTTGTGTACAGCACATCTTTATATTTGCATGTTATGTATCATTAGATCACACTGACAGTAGTGCACAGTGTCAGCAGGCTTACTTTTCAGTTCAAGCCTGCAAAGTATTTGCACCACAGACGTCACGTCCAAAGGCATGATATGTTAACAGCAGCGCAAATGAGGAAGGCGGTCACGCTGATTAGTGCTTATCCTGCCCAGCTTCATGCACCCCGTCCATTTTCATTACAGCGTCAGGCTAATGGGCAACTTGGTTTTGGCTTGTATTTAGCTGGTAAAGCCGTCCAATGCTGCTATATTATACAACAGACAATGTTCCCACCTACATAGTGTATGAGTGAGTCACTGGTACATTAAGGCGCGCGAACACACATACGCACACACAAAACAAGCCATTTCCCCCCCAAAATTATGAGAAGGGCATTATAATTCACAGGCACCATCAATGGTCCATTAGGGCTATTTGTGTACAGGTGCATGGTAGTCATGTTTATGCATTTATACATGAAAATAGCAAATATGATTCTCATATTGTAGCTTTATTGTAAATATATACTTGTTATTCACACCTGCACAAAGTCTGCTGGCCCCATGCAAAACATTTGTATCAAAACTTTATTCAGGAAAACCAATTCTGGAGTAACACATCATGCTTCTGTATTGTGTCTTTTCTTTCTTTTCTAAACTGAGATTAATAACATAGATCATCATTCCTGCAGACAGCCAGATCTCCTCTTTCATGCAGTTTTACAGCAAGCTGCACTTGTGCTTCTGCAAGACATGTCCAACAAATGTTCCTGATCATGCTCTATCATTTCAGGAGAATAATGTGGGGAATAAAAGGAGAACAAAGGCTGGTTTTGACATTACAGCCACTCGGTGCTTACATCGCTAGGATAAAGGAGTGGTTTAGGATCGTGACAGCAAGCTGAACTTTAGCAGCATAATCTGTGTTGTTTGTAATCCGTGACACTGACTTTTAGAAGAAACAGCATAATGGAGCATGATGTACACAAATCCCTTCAAATTAAGAGATAGTTGTTTCTGAGATTTCAGCCTCAAGTTTTATTTTAACTACAGACTTCCAAAAGTAATCAGGGCAATAAATCAAAAACCACATGGTGTGACCAAGGGAGCATTTTTTCCTGTGAATTATAAAACATGCATGTAACTTATTAAGGGCTGCATCGCACTATGGGTGGTTCTGTGTGTATTTAAAAACCTATCATCAATTACTGATTCAGAATAACTTGGAAACTTGTCTTTTTTTTTTTTTTGCTTCTGTGACATTTCTCTGGGAACCACAACAAAACTCCAAAGTACCTCTAATGCACTGTGATGGAGGCAGAAATCTCAGATACTGTGAAACCAACAAATCTGTGCATGGCTAGTTATCACCAGAGATATGACAAAAAAGAAGTTTTTATTTAAATACTTATTTCTTTTTTGCTGATACTGCTTTGCTGATGAGGTGCTTAAAGGCAGTTACTGCAAGCATTATGTTTTAACTCAAAGGTAATCTCGAGCCTGGTGTTACGGAGTCACCTGAGTCCAACGAAAATATCAAGCATTCAGGATCATAATGCTCAAATGTAACGTTGTGTCCAAAAAAAAAAAAAACAAAAAAAAACCCACAGGAGAAAATCATTACTCCTGTAATGCCATGTAGCTGTCACATATGAAAAGTACTTTAGTTTACAATCCTCTACATAAATAATAACCACCAAGCGTATTTACCAAACTACACAGACCCCAATCTGGATTTTTTTAAATAAAAGTGAAAACTCCAACACATATTTAGGCTACAATGTAGTTTTACATTATCAAAGCTTATTTCATCCCAAAACACTGTTGCTACTACAGATTGTGCTATCTGCTCTTTTTATTTTTTGCTTAAGTGTCCCGTATCTTATGCCAAAATAACTTCTTTGTAAGTGTTTTCTTTTTAAAACATCCCCTTTAAGACACACGGACTGTGTTTGTAAGAGGTGGGGTACACACTAGGAGCTTAAAGGAGCAGGAATGCTTTAATCTTGACGCTTAAAGTATAATTTAAATGAAGCTAACAATGCTATAAACATCCAACAGATTAAAGAAACAAAAGGCAGAAAAATGATGGATGTGCACAGGAAAAAAAACAAAAACGGGACTTGTCTAGTCACAGGAATTAGTGTCTGAACCACCTGGACATCAAACAATGAAGAAATCAAAGGACACGGCTCACAGTCATCACTTGAAAAGCCAGGAAACTTTTAAAGCTTTTAGAGAGTAAACATAAACTAAGCTGAGGCAGACTCCACAACCACAAACAAGCAAACAACGGCTGAGAGGAATAAAATGGACAGGAAAACCCAAGCATGCAAGCATGGAATGAAAGGTTTATTGAACTAAATCAGGAATGTAATCAAACCTTTAAATAAAATAAATGACAGAACACAAACATCTGGACCACAGTTTGCAGCAACGAACACTGTACCTGCAAATCCTACAGACACCAATTTTCAGTATTAGACTTCACATCGTTCTTTCTAAAGCAAAGCGTCTTAAAAGAAACCAAAAAACGAGTCGTGGGGAGGCAACAAATCTACTCTACTTTTTTTTTTTAAGTTTCATTTAAAAAGAGGGGAAGGGAAGCGGGGAGAGGTATGAATTATATCACTGTATAATTCGAATCAAGCTTTACGTGATGGAGCTCTGCTCACTGCTCAGACAGCCGCTCGACTGTACCCAAGTCAAAATACAGATCCTTCACAGCTGCAAGCTCTCTGACTAAACAAAATAATAATGAATAATCTGTAAGTTTGTTCATGAATAATATAAAAGAGAAAAAACAAAACAAAAAGATAACACCAGTTCTTTGTGTACAACCAAAACAACGGCTGTATTAAAGAAAGTTACTTGATAATTGGACCGTCTGCCAGGTCAGTTCTGGCAGTTTAAACCTGGTCGGGTTTCCAATAAGCGTAATTTTGTTCCTCGTTTATTTGATGTTTTGGTTTCTTTTTTCATTTTCTCCCCCCTCGTTTGAATCTTGCTGAATGCCGCTGGGCTCACTCCACTTTGCCGTAGTCCTCTATGTGACCCAGCACCTTCTTCCTCTGCCGGATCATGTGGAAGTAGAGCTGGGGAAAGACTGGGAGAGGCAGGGGGAAAGAACAAATTAATACATTCTCCAATAAATGCTGATCAGTGCACCAACTCCTATTCAAGTTACAGTTAAGTCAAAGTGCAGATGTTGAGTGCTTAAGAGAACACGTTCACCACTGAGAAATTACACACAGACCACTAAACAACAACAACAAAATATGAACCAACTTTCTATCTACACATTTCCTACAATACCACAAAAAAGGGGAAAACTATAACCAGTTGCAATAGATTCCACATGCATATCTAATAATGTGACCACTGAGTGCATAATATTGTAATTATGCCTTTGATATGCGCGTTTATTTTTTCTTTTAAAAACCCCACTAATTATGTAATAGCTTATGTCATTATGGGTCTGTGTCCACAGGCAGCTGAAAGCAGCCATGACCTCATTTTCAGCACCCTTCTCTCAGCACTTATTGTTGCTAGGATACAAAAAACATTTTCTTCAGATAGAGATCGTAAATAACCGGGCTGTCAGAGACAACTAGGACCAAAATCCCTTTCACTGTTGTTGACAAGGTTGATAACATAAGTCCATCACTTCTCACTCATCAACATCCTATTTGGTAGCTGCAGCCCCGAAACCTTCAACTTAAACATGGCAACATCAGATTTATTGCCAAGAAGTATTATTGCAACAAAGAAATATCCAACCATTTCCTAACTTTTCATGCCATGTTTAGTTCTTTTCTCAGTTTTACAGGCTCTCTGTTGTGAAATGTGTAAATATTAGGGTGGCCACAAACAAGCAGCACTCAGCTCATAGCAGTCACCAACCAACAGTAGTGAATCCTTAAGTGCAATTCGCATACATAAGCAGATTTCTAGTGTTTTAAGGGCAAAACTGCCTTCCCTGTTCAAAAGAAAAGGGAAGACTTTTTTTGATTTCTTTTTTAATTTAGCACTTTAGTACTACATCTCCTAAGTGAAAAAGTAAAAGCCTCTAAATGAAGTTATGAGAGTGAGAAATGCTTTGCAACATGCAAAAAGCCATCTGAAGATGTGACTGAGAATCCTCCCACAGGGAGCTCTGCATGTTTGATTAGGAGTCTGCAAATATTTTTCAAAACTAAATGTCTAAAATGGCATTTATTGATCAGTTTCTGATGCAAAAAAAAACAACCTGCAAATGAACAATGGGCTATTTCACTACACAAGGTAGAATGGAAAGTCTCGCCTTTGACTTACGGGGAATGTAGGAAATCATGATGAGGATGAGGAAGGTGTAGTAGTCGAAAGAGAAGTTGTACTTGTTGGGTAAGGTAACAGAGTACAGGCCTGTCTTCTGCACGTATGGCAGCGCTGCATAGATAGTCAGCAGTTCCCCAGTCACTCCCATGGGATACAACACGATGAAGAAGGTGTACCTACAGTACAGAGGTTTATTAATGAGAGGGGAAGGGAAAGAAACAATTAGCCTCATCACTTTATCGTTTATTTGCTGTTTTAGTAACAGGAAGCAGTATCGTAGTAAATCATTCCCTAAAACACTAAGTAAGAGGTGATAGAAAACATTAAGAGTAATAATGCAAAGCAGCATTTAGAGTATTAAATCTGAAATCACGCAGAAATCATTGACATGATTTAAATATATACTGTGACACAAACATAAAGCAACAGCAGGTGCAAAAAATGCAACTCAAAAAGATCCTAAATCATTGAAGTGTTAAGCAATCACATGTTTTAAACAGAAAGAAGCAAAGTTTGCAATTAAATATGACACGTGCACACAATGAAGATGTTGTCTTCTACAGAGAGAAAACTCTTCATCTGTCTCTTCTATAACTTGCACTCCAAACCCAGCGACTGTCTTCCGTGATCCTACAATGAATTTTCCACAAATGCACAACAAATTTCTGTCTCTCAGGGCTCACGTCAAACTCAGAGTTGAACACCAATATAGCAATGGTCCCATTTGCTTCCTAGCAACAAAGACCTCGGGGAGGGAGGCTCTTAACCACTGTTGCCTTGGTTGTAGATGCAGACAGAGAGAGGCTTGTGTTTTAATTGTTGAAGCACAAGCTTTTCTGCATGTTTGACGTAATGTGATGAACAGCGACTCCTTACTGCTTTAGCATCCTCTTTTCACGCAATACGACCTTAAGATTTTCATTCATAAAGGATTGAATTAGGTTTGAAAAGAGGTCAAGTAAACAAAAACATTAATCAATTATTTTCCTTTAATTACATTCATTACATTTATTATTTTGTTTGGAAAACAGGCTGAGAACTAACAGTGGAACACCCAAGGAGTCTATTTTTATTGCATTTTTTATGTAATTATTAACAGATTGAAATTTGTCCTGACTGAAAGCATTATTAGCAGCTTGGTGGCTTTGTTCTCTAAGGACCTGACTCCAGTCAGCCATTTCTGTTTATCTTTGCATCGATCAACTAACAGGTAAAAGGTTGAGCCACAACGCAATTCAATAAATTTGAATTTGCATATTATCATTTTGATAATATGCAAAAAAAAAAGGACGAATAAACATAAGCAAACAAAGAGAAACAAGTTAAGAAAAATGAAATAAAATATGCAAAGCAAAACATAAATAAATATATTTTTTTTAAAAATCATTAATCATGTAATTCTTAAGATGATGATGAAAATATATTTAAACACAGGAAGCAGATTAAATATTAAGAATTTAAAGAAATTATTAATGCCTTTTTTATTACTTTAGTTCAGGTTGTTGTTTATTATTTCATCTTTTATTCTTACTTTTAGCACTTTCAGTCCTCCATTGGATGAAAATACTCTTTAATTATTTCTTACCTAGCCCATTTGATGAGGTATGGCAGGTGATTGAGCAGGCTGAAGGTGTAGAAGGAGTAGCGGATAATCTCTGTGACAGTCCAGGCTGTGACAAACAGCAGTACACTGTCCTCACTTTGAACCTGCGCACACACAGAAAAAGAAGGATGATGGAGGGAGAACAGGCGAACAGACGGCCTTGCATCATGTTACAGTAGTTACTCTGCTGTAGGCCAAACTTGACTTTCCCCCCTCACAGAACCATGCTGTTTGTTTCAGATGCTCAGATCACACTGCAGGCCAACATTCACTATCCTTAAATATTATTTTAAAAACAACGTACATTTTATGTTAAAGAGACAAGCGCACTATGCATTAATTCACTCTTCTAAATACACCCTAGAAATGCATTCACGTAAAGGGGAAGAGAGAACAGTTTGAGAGAAATGTCAGTGCATCATCATTCAGACAAACAGGAAATAAAACCCATCAGAGATTAGACAGATGCTGTCGATTCATTCCTGCAGCCTTACAGCAAAACTGTAATGTTACTTACTCATTTACTCCTCTTCAAGCTACAAACAGGGCAAACAGTAGATCAGCTGGTCAATTTTGAATTTAAGTGAATGAAACAATGTAGAAGGACGGTGTAATTCAAGTTCAGTTTACACAAGTAGCAAAAGGAAAGAAACTCGCTGTACCTCTCTGACACTGTGCGTGACAGCCCACGTGAGGAAGACCCGGGACATGACCTGGAATCCAGTCAGGACCACAGAGGATGGTACGATTCCTGGGAGATGAGGCAACACACAAACACTGAACATATACCGTAAGCATGCAAGACTACTGGTTTTAGTACAGCTGACTAAAACTGTCCTCTCTTTGGTACACCCTTTCAGCTATACAGAAAATCTATTCATGTCTACACAGTCACTTTCAGAACATTAATTGTAAAGCGCGGAACATTTCTGCAATGCACCAGCTGCCATCCATCAGCTATAGACAGGTTAACCTTGAAAGCCTGCAGACGCTCTGCATGTACACTGTGTTAACTCACACGTCACATGTTTTAGCTGCTCCTCTGTACGGGTCAAATGCATGGCAGTCACCAAGAGCTCTGTTTGCCCAGTGACAATTCCAGTAAAGTTTGATCGAAAGAAAGAAAGAAAATAGATGAATCTGTCCTAAGTGATGACAAAAAAAGAAGAAAAAAAGACGAAGAAAGAATATGTTGTTTTCAATAGTTAATTCAGTTTAATTCTGAATATTAAACGTGTTACACCTGTCCTGATGTATAGTTTTGTTTTGTTTTTTACTAGCAGTATGTAGCACGTAAGGGCTTAAACTGCTATAAGGAAATATTAAGCACTTTTATTATATTTTTGTATACTTTGTATACAACTTAGTTACAAATGTGTAACACAAACAAAGGTCCATACCAAACAATGAACCATTTATTAACATCTGTGCTCCTTTAAATCAATATTCGGCCCTGCAATCATAGATCAGAGCACAACTATATTTGAGCCCACGTTCATTTTGGCCTCAGCTACACATCTGCAAAGCTTTGTGGCGGTACCTTGCACAGTTATGACTTTACCACACTAACAAAATGTGTCCACAGAGTGACAGACAGACATGTAAACACTTGCCACAATGTCTAACCACCTTTGTGGGAGTTCCTAGGAACCTCAAGGGTCATGTGTTGTTATGGTGGGACTAAGCTTATGGGCTCAAAATGTGGTCATAAATATTTTGTACTTGTAAAAAAGATTTGTATGTGTAAAAAAGATTTGTGTGTGGACTTAGAAAAAAAAAACCCTGCAAGTTACAAGTACGGATTTTTGACCCTATTTTTCTTCCCTTCAGCTGGTTGGTCAATGTCATGTCAATCACAAATGTAACAATCCAATCAGAGAACAGATGGGTTTGGCTGTCGAGGGGCGCTTTTTTTGAACTGCAGGTCTTTGAAGGGAATAAATGCCCTTTTACATGCCAACCCAGCGTTTTCCTTCATCACCACGAAGGAAAACAGTCTGTGGTCGTCCGAGTTTGGTGATTTTTGTGTCACAGGTCTACGTGTTTAATACAGGGACTTCCACAGCCTTTTCAACAGCGCTGCGGACCGCGGGGTGGGGGCGGGCAGTGTTTTGGAAATGACAGTCTTCATTACAAAGCTTTCTTCGTTATGAATTAGCATACATGTTTTTATTGAACATTTGAAGAACTAGCAAAAAAAACTAACTCTTGTAGAGGACATAAACTCAGAGATAGAAAAGACAAGGAGCAGGTGCATCTAGTACAGGTAGAGCTGCTGCAAAAACCCACAGAGCCCAGCAGCCAGCGTAACAAATTCTGGATCCTTTGCTTTTAGTTAGCAGTTAGCATTAGCAGCACATCCTGCGTCCAATGTGAAAGGACCTTTATGCTGCGCACTGTGACTCACAGCCATGGTCCCGGGTCAGCCCTGACTTTGTGTTAAACTAATCCTAAAGTAATAATGTTATTTCTAACCACTGATATAGCACAACTTTTTCCTTTCAACAGCTACTGAAAGTTAGGGGACCTAGCTGCTATCGGATATTTATATAGCGATCCTCCAGCTTCAAACTGTATCACCCTTCAAGGACCTGCAGTTCAAAAAAGCGCCCCTCCGACAGCCAAACCCATCTGTTCTCTGATTGGATTGTTACATGTGTGATTGACATGACATTGACCAATCAGATGAAGGGTAGAAAAATAGGGTCAAAAATCCATACTTGTAACTTGCAGGGGTTTTTTTTCTAAGTCCACACACAAATCTTTTTTACACATACAAATCTTTTTTACGCACACACAAATCTTTTTTACACACACACAAATCTTTTTTACACACACACAAATCTTTTTTACAAGTACAAAATATTTATGACCACATTTTGAGCCCATATAAGCTTCCATTCACAGTCTAAATGTAGCTTTTCACTAAAATTTAAAATTGCTAATAATAATAATCATAATAATGTAATTTTTAAAGTAGTACATTTGAGAAAGATGCTGATGAGAGACTTTGTGAGTAACATATCCACATATAGGACAGTTATAAATGATGATGCAGTGTGTGTGTGTATGTGGACAGCAGCCTCGGGTAGCCTGTTTACAGTATGAAAGGTCAGTTAGCTTTAGCTTCAAATCCCAGATAACGGAGAGAAAGGTTTGTGCATTACAACCGTGGCCAACCGGGCCACAGCCACTCTCCTCATCACATTAAGTAAGCAAGTAAGCAAACAGCTTCTCTGCCCTCTTTTTTTGTACACACTTCAGATGTGAAAAGGTTTTGTTTGTCTGTACATATTTACATCTGACTTACATCTACAAATGCGATTTCACGACTCATAATTATGTCTTCTGTCAAAACTGTAAACTGAGATATCAAGCTTTGTTATCCGATTTGTCAATATGAGATCTGCAAACATGCGTTGCCCAGTAAAAAAAATGACGTTATAATAACTGACGTGTTTGAGGATCAAACAACAAGGTGCAACTGGGTGTCTGTGTTCCAGTAAAGATGAGTTAACTTGGTTGTGAAGGTCAAAGATTTCACAAATTAAACTACATTTTTCAAACCTCTGGAATAAATAGCACTGGTTTAGAAAAGAAACGAGCCAACTACAAATTTAAAACCACCCAAATGTGTCATTAACTAAACAGCCATCAAGGTTACTTCATATTCTGTTCGGAATGTAAACAACAAACATCTGATACTCGATTTCTCCAGCATCTTTAACATATTTCACCCTGTAGCAGAGGTAACTGAAGGTCATACTGAGAAAAAGTGAAGTAAATTTGAGTCACTAGAAGAGTTTTAATGCTCGCTGGATCTGGACTATCTGGAACTGGTCTAATGGGAAGCACACCAAACAGTCTCCCAGAGGATGTTCCCTCTTTTGGGGATAAAATCAGAGAGCTGCCTAAAATACTTACACCATATTAAACGCTGAATACACATATTTATGTGCCATGGGTTTAAGGCATGATGAAATTTATAAAATACAAACAATCAATGTACTCCATTTCTGACACGGGTACCTAGCTTACAATATGGAAGAGGAAATATGTGAAAAAGTTCAAGGGGCCCGAATACTTTTGCAAGCCACTGTATTTGCTTCTGTATTTATAACTGTGTTTCAGTGGGCAGCGTGTGGCTCAGTGGTAAGGACTAACGCCTGGGAGCTTCTTCTGTGTGCAGACAGTGTTCTCTCGCTGTGCTTGTGTGGGTTTTCTCCAGGAACTCGGGCTTTTCCCACCATCAAACAAACCCACATTAGGTTAACACTGCCTCACAAACAAAGGTCGTTCAAGAATTTCCCTTCCTTGTTTAAAAAAAAGAAGCTTAATCAAATTAAACAGCTGTTTTTAAGCATTTCTGCACATTACCCTTTGAAGATATATAAAACTTTAGTCCTGGGTACTTGGTGAGGAAGCTTTACCTAAAAGGATGACTGAATGGATGGATCTAAATCTAATCTGTGCTTCACTGGTGACACGAAGCAAGTGTAAGTGAGGGAAGGTGCAGTCTGAGGAGAAACTCACCTACAGCACAGTGCAGTATCTGTAAAAGAGGAAAATGATCATAGAAATTGACTCAATCTGTTTCTGGAATAAAGTACACGGACACATTTTTAACTCTAGCTACTGTTGGTCCAGTTTATACGCAGAAGAACTCGAAGATTTCCTATAAAAAATGTTCCAAATACCTACCCCGTTAATACATTATATATTCTATTGAAACAAAATGCTGAGAGTCACTGAACCAAGTCAAAAATCATTGGTCCTATTTTTGATCACCTAACTAAGCTGAGGTCGGTAGTGCATGTGTCATTTGATGAATGGAATATATTGACTTTAAGTATACAGTGCGTATGGACAGCATCACTGCAACACCTCTAACACTCACTACACACATCTGGGTCAGTATGTGTGTTAGCATGACCACTCTAAACACATGTAAGGCTAAAAGAATGTCTACATACATTTTTTAACCTAGTGTTGAAAAACATTAGAAAATGATATTCATTTGTAGTTTGCACCAAACTATAATTTTAGGATCTTAAAATACTTAAAATAGAAACTAAAATCCTTAAGTCATTAACTGTGTGGCTTCAACATGGTACGGAGAGGCATGTTAAGTTATCAGTTATCAGGGCATACCAAACTCTGAAGAGAATCAAAGACACTGTTAGACACTGTCCATTATTAGTTTGCCCTATATGTGTCAAAAGGCTAATGCTGGATTAATAAAATGGTTTTTTTCTCATTACTAGTCTCTACATACAAAACTGATAGTGTGTGCTGATATGAGCAATAGTAGTGACCTCTGAAATAATACCACATATTCAACAGACCATACACCTGCTGCATGCTCAGTTTTTATCAGTTATGCCACACCTTTAGTGGTTATCTCACCTCGAGAACAGCTCCAGTCTGAAAGAACTTCAGAGGTTTCTCTATGGAGTAATACAGCCCATGGTAGCTTCCTCTGGCCAGGTAAGCTCGAACCAAACCCACAGCTATCACCAGCCACCTAAACAGTAGAGGAAAATGCAATGCGGTCACTTCATAAATGAAAAACAAGGCCTACCAGATGATCTTGCTGTAGAAATAAACATCTTATGATGCGTCTGTAGTTTATGTGACATACAGTCAAAAGCAGCCATTAAAACAGCTGCGATTTTTGCATCTTTTGGCAAACATGTGCACACAGACAAACACAACACACACACACAGGTAACAAGTTATAGAAAAAAAATATTTAAGAGGTCTTATTACTGGGTGCTTAGTGGTGGTGCTGGACCACCTTGTGCTACCATTCTTTGTATATATTTTTCCTCATTTCAAGGATTGGTCCCTGAGCTGGAAATGTCAGACGCGAACTAAATAAAAATAATGTAGTTAAGATTAATTCAGAGAAAGTTTCATTTCACACTCTGGTTTTAATGACTCTTAATCTCCGTCTTGGCTGCATTTGATATCAACTCTGGGGCCAGTTAGGCAGAAACTGAGCAGGTCTGCTTAGCGGCTGTGGCTGAATATGCAAAACCGTGCCTGCGAAAAAACACCCTAAGTGCTCAGCACAAAGCAAGCACTGTACAGGCCGTCAATACTGAGGAGGGTAAATGTGGCCTAACTGGTTGGAACAGTCAGCAAACAAGTCACCATTCAATTGTGCAACAGTCTGAAAATCAGAGCAATAAAATCTGCAAAAGGATTACTGTGTACACGGTTCAAGATAACTACCATTTGAAAAGCTAAGAAAATATGTTTGCATTATTAAAAATGCAAAACAACAACCTCCATCACAATCGTATTCTTTCTCCAAACATACACTTTAAAAAACAACAACAACAACTCATTTGTAGGTTTAAAAAAAATCTCATTTAAATCACCGAATTGTCTTTTCAGTCCTTAAAAAGATTACTTTATTTTAATATTATAAACTATCACATGTGGTTTTGGTAACATTTACGATAATCTTTCTTTCATTTTCATAATTCTCTCTCATTCATTTGAGCAGGTGCTAAATAAACAAAAATCAATCTCAGTAATCCAACAAAACAGCATGTCCAATGCGTGAATCCGCACTTTCTGACATAAAACAACTAAAAAAAAACCCGCACACAATGAATATCTGTCATAATATTCCTGTACTGTATGGAGTAGCGTCCCGTCAGTCACAATTAATGTCCACGCCAGGTGGCTGTCTGTTGCTCCTCTAATGTTAATCTTTGTAAGCCCTTGGATGCAGGAGGAACAACGTCCAAAGTTGTGCTTCTCCTTAGCGCGCTTAGGCATGTTTATGACATTAATAACTGCAAAAAACTGGAAGAATATTAACGCTGTAACACTACAATGGGGAACTCCTTCGCCCATTATTTAGCACAGCCCATCAGCACCACCAGAGACATTTCTATCATCCACCACCCAGCAGCATTAGCACGAGGAAACACGCTACGTACCCCGCTGTCATAACAACGTTGTAAATGACGAGATATGCCGTGGCCAGGGCACCGGGTCCCTTCTTTCTCTTCGCAGCCACATCGCCGTGGGCCGCCTTGCTGGTTCCCGAAGCAGCTGCCGACATAACTGCAACTATCAACGGTCTCCGCTCCTGAACGACGGCGGGTGTCAGGAAAGGAACATGGGCCACACCAGGAAGTGTCGTACTGAAACGGGATGTTCGCTCCACCTCACTTCCGTCTTCGTTTTGAGAAGCGTAGTTTAAAAATAAATAAATAAAAACAATTAAATAAATATTCATTTTTTAAACATCAAAAATATATGTATTTATTCTCTTATTTAAGTTTATTATTTTAAAATATTTTTATTTGCCTTATTTAACTAAATTACTGCCCGCAAAGTGTGCAGGATCACTGAGTTATCATCGTCAGGTCCTGTGACTGCAGGTGGCGGTTTGTGCCACCCTGTTTCAGGGGCCCGGTTTGTGTTTCTTCACATTGCCTTATTCGTTTTCTAAATAATGAATAATTTTCTGCGGCAAATAAGTGGCACAGAATATTTGATTGTTCTGACTTGGAATTGCTAATCAGCAATGAAAGTATCGTTATGGAGGACCCAATGTTTAAAATATTTATTTATTTATGTATTGCTTCTGAGTGTATTCAACCTTTAATAAACCCCCAGTTTATTGTTCTCCTTCTGATTTGATTTAATCTTATTTACTTTATTTTTATTTACTTTATATTTATTTTTATTTACTTGCGTACTTATTCTTACATACATTTATTTATTTATTGTTTTAGGCATTTATTTCTTTGAACATAATTACCACAGCTTCTTTGTATATGTACAAGGACAGTAAAGGCCTATTCTATTCTATTACATATTTTCAGGAATACTGAACGTTTCACCAGCAGTCAGAAACCTAATAATAGAGTTGGGCCAGCTTTTAAGAACCGGGGAAACTAATTTGCTTTAAAAATGGCAAGTAATTTTCTCACAAACAACCAAGCAATTGATTGTGAAACTGATAGTGGACAAATCTACAAACAAGCCCAACAATTATTTTTGCTTATTGCGCTTGGCAAACACCACAAATACACACTAACAGATCCACAGCCAAAATATATCATCAAATTCAAGTTAGTTCCTCAATTCTCTATTCCTCCTGTTTGACCTGTTGCCCCCACTAATAATAGGTCATTCAAAACACAGATCACCAGACTCATGAGCAGATTCTTCCCCAAGGTCATTTGGACTCTAAATCAACATACAAAATCAACATAGCTCTTGTGTAACTTTCAAAATCGTTCTTGTCAAATTTGTCATTTTGAAATACATTTTTCATTACACTACTACAATACCAAGTTTTTATTTAATTTTAACTTTGTATATACCAGCTTTGTATATACACCTATGCTTTTTACATATATTTACTCTTTGTAATATTTAGCTATTTTTTTTAATTAGTTGTGTAAAAAAATACTCCACCAACCACTTAATGCATTTTACCGTTTTCAGTAACAATAAACTATTTTTTTTATTACATTCTTTTATATTGTGTTCTATTCCATTCTTAAGAGGTTAAACTGACCTGAACTACATCTAGATAGACACCTGTGCTTATGCTTTAGGGAACCATACTCCACAATAAAACGGCTCTTATGATGGCTTCTGCACTTTTAAAGAATTCTATGTCACTGTCATTGAAACTGAAGAGTCACAATTGACTGTACAAGAAGATGATTTTGGTTTTTGATGCTAGTGAAATCTGCATTAAAAAGAAATGCCTGAAGGTAATGCCCAGTTAATAACGTTTCACCATAGTGACTCTTAAAAATACCAGTTTCCCCTTTTTGCTAAGGACCACTGCACTGTTGAATTTTTAAATAAATATGAGGACCCGTGTAGAAAAATTGTGGTGATATATAATAATTTATTTACCTAAAAGCTAATACTTTGTGGATGTATCATTGGGGCAACAATGCTGAGCCCACATCCATTATTACCCCACTAGATGCCAGTGTTTCTCTTTAACCATAAAAAAGGTGTCACCCTTAATTGCTTAATGTAATGCCACAGCGCTATATTTCCACTAAGTAAAAATGTAAAAAAACAAAACAAAAACAAACACAATTAAAGGAAAAGGTGCTACAGACTCAGTTGCTTAGTATTTTTATTTCTTATTTTTATTTTTTGTAAACAGGCATTATTGGAGACAGCCAAATTTCCGGAAGAGCAACTGGTGAGAGTTAGATGGACGAGGAAGCGATATTTGTTTAGGTTTAGCTTGAAGAACGCACGTACTTTTTTTCATCACAAAGTCTGCCTCTTTATAAATAGTTAACATGCCTTTATTTTCCCAAAATCCATTTGACCAAGATGTTGGTAAGTGAATTGTTGTCTCTTTGGCCCTTTGAGTGTGTCACAGCCAGAAGCTAACGATAGGGCCAGTCACACTAGAGGCTAATGCTAGCTTAGCTCGAGTTGTTTATTCGCTAGCGCTACGTGATAAGTTACTTTAGGGCTGCCAATTTTTGTTACAACACCATATACCAGTCCTGCTAGCCTTTGCTAGTTTGTACCTGACATATCGATGTGTTGTCGACCTCTTTTATTAAGTTTCCAGTTCATTTGTTAGTATCAGCGATTGCTTTGTAAGAAAAAAAACTTGGTGATTCATATAAACTCACAGGATAACCGCCATTACAAGATCAGCTGATCCCAAATCAACTCAAAATACGTTTATGGTTCTATTTTTATCTACTTTATCACACAAATACCATTCGTTTAAATCTCCTTTATCTTTTTTCTGTTTTCGTTGAAGCGTATACTTTGTTGATGCTCGAAAACAGTGAAATCCCCATTGCGGTTCACTTGACGTCTCACTTGGGAGGATTTGGTGTTTTCCTTTGTTTTATGTAGAAACTAAATGAGGTTTACATTTTGGTGTATTGGTTAGACAAAAAAAGAAGTGGATTGAAGATGTGTCCGTGGGCTGCAATTGTTAGTGATGCCTGTTTTCAGTATTTGGAGTTGATACGTCATTGGATAGTTAAATGTGAAAATAATATAGTAATGAGTCATTAATGATTACAGTTGTTGAAACCTTTTTTCTCTCCGGCTGATGATTAATTAGAAAAGCTTGGTCAAGACTAATTAATCAATCACTCCCTGGCCTTTCGGGTTTGGTTGTTATCCGTCTGTATTCAGATGGGTGTAAAATTAAAGGAAAACTCTGAATGTTTCACCCCAGCATGGCGATAATCCTGCTGATTTAACATATTGTGGCAGTCTTCTGCTGGCATTGTTTGGGTCAGCATGTCCCTTTAGCGAGAACTGTCAGTGAAAACAAATGTAAGTTGTTCGCAATAATCGCTGATGTCCTATGACCTTCCTGTTCTGATGAATAGTCTCTTCCCACATGACAAACGGGTTATCTATAAGGTATATGAGTTAAATAATATGGACTTCACACTCGTGAGCTCCTAACCCAGTTGAACATTTATGGAAGATTTTGGACCAGTGTGTTAAACCTCACTTTCTACCACCATTTTTTAAACATAAAATAAGGGGATATGTATGTTATTTATTTATTTATTTATTTTTAAAGGGTGTTGTTTTCCTGTAGTTGAGGTCTAGAGTCTTGGAAAATCCATGCCAAGCCTTTCTAATGACCCAGCACCTTTCTAAGACATTTTATATCGTGTTTCCCTTTAATTTGTCAGCTATCCTATGTAAATTTTCATAGACACTTCCTGGCTGAACAGCTTTATCTGACTGTGCAACACTATAGTCCTTGTATGACCATACAATAGAGCACTATTGCACTAGAGAGTCATGGGAGTGACACTATGAGTCGGAAACGTCATACAAGTAATTTGCTACCAGCATATTATGAAACAGTGGCAGGTCACTTTGCATGTCAGAACACCACTTAACATCAATATAGTTTATGTTGTGATTTTTCTTTTAACTCAGAAGATAATGCAGTTCAATTGTTAATGAGGCTTTTCTTTTAGCTTGTCAGCTGCTGAACGGGTCACAGTTTAAAGTACTTAAATATTTACATGGGATTTCTAAGTGTCTTGTCACAATAGGCCGTTAGGAACAGGTTGCACAATAAAAACAGCAACATGTAGTTGGCTTATAGAACTCTTCCACTCTCATTTTGAGTTCGATAGGTGACAGTATAACATAAATTAGATGTACAATGTGCCAGTTAAGGGCTTGCGGCTCATTTTTATATTACACCATGCATTTGGCATGTCTTCCCACATTTTCTTTGGAGATAAGCAGCCACAATGCCATTGGAGTTATTTTCTCACTGGAGCATATGCACTAAATCCGCATTTTACATATTTCCAGAGAAGGCAACCAATGAAAACAACACAACAGATGACTGGGCACTTATCATGGACATCTGTGATAAGATTGGAACAACAGCCAATGGGTAAGCTTGAAAGAGCCATCTTCCGTTGAATATTAATGGCACATTTTGATTTGAGCAGCCCAGTGGCCCCGGACACTTAATTTGAAAGTGTTTCATACTTGACGACATCAGCAGTACCCCCAATCCACAGGCTGTGTTCCCTTCTGTTGCAGACCAAAGGACAGCTTAAGATCCATTATGAAGAGAGTCAACCACAAAGTGCCTCATGTGGCGATGCAGGCTCTTAATGTAAGTTTGTTGCTTTACTATTTAATTTATTGTATAAAAATGCCATTACAAATAACTGCAAATGTTTAATAAATCAATAGATTGGGTCAAACACCTCTCTAGTTTTGGGGTTAGAAGTACAGTTTACTGGCATTTGGGCTGCAAACCCATTTCCTTTAAAAGGATACAGGAAAGTAGACCCTTTCCACGCCAGTATTATTTAAATGAAATGAGGACTGTGAGACCTGTTTGTCTGAGTCATTGTGAGCTAATACTGTCACATGACCTGCTCTATTCTTAGATTTCTGTCTTTAAATTACTGAGATAATTTCAGACTGTTGTCATCAAATCCCACCTCTAAACTCACCTGCTGTTAAAATGTACTGTAAATAATGAGTGGCTGTCTTTTTACTGCGATACTTATTTCACTGTCTTGGCTTGCAGTTGCTGGGTGCTTGTGTATCAAACTGTGGCAAAATATTCCACCTGGAAATCTGCTCAAGGGAGTTTTCCAGTGAAGTGAAGAGCATTCTTAACAAGGTATGAAAACTT